CCTCTGGAACCAACTGACCGGCACCACCGCAGATGGTTGGGAGAGCCTCAACGCCACTTCCATTCATAACCCCGCCATCCGCTACTTTCACTGGATGCTCGGAAACACCATTTTTGCAAGAGACAGTAACCACAAGGTTAATTCCAAGGAGCTTTTCTTTCTCCATTGCGTGTTCGCGCCTGAAGCCATCAACGCTGCACCATTTCTGCTAACCCACATACAAGCCAACTGTGGTCGAGGTTCTAAACCATTTTACATTGGCAGTATCATTACCTCCATAGCCATAGCCCTCGGCCTAAGCGGTCTGCAGAACCTTCCCTCGCTACCTCCGTTCCTCCTTGACATCAACTACTGCCACTCATCCCACCTCATCAAGGTCAGAGCCGACGAAAAATATCATCCGGTGGTTCGTAACCGTACTATCCGCAACATCATCATGCCAGCCCGGGACCGCACTCATCCTTGTTCCCAAGCCAATTGGATCTTTGACACCGACGCACCTGAAGCAAATGCAGCAGCCGCTCAAGAGAACACCTACGTGCCTATTGATGAAGTCAAGGAAGAAATGGACCGAGCTGCCCAAGCAGAAACACAACCTCCTCCACCTCCAGAAGGCCCTTCTTCTCACTGTCGCCGTCGTCCAGAGCCCGAGGTAACAAACGAAGAAATCCTCAGCGCCATTTGGCTATAAAATAAGGCTGTAACACATCTCGAAGTTCGGCACCAAGAGCAGCATGGCCAAATGATGACCATCATGCAGGAACTACAACAAAGCCATGCAAGCCTAATCGATGAGATGGCCGCCATCACTGTTCGAGTGGAGGACCTACGCGACTATATTCATCATACTGGTGCTATGGACCTAGCAACACGAAGAGGACGAGCCAGAACCAGAGGCAGAGGTAGAGAGTAGTGTTCTCCGTAGCCATCTTGTTGTTATTTTATTCCTTATACTTTATTTCTTGTTGTTATATCCCTTCCACATTCATTTCAAACCAGTGAGGACACTGCTTGAGATGGTGTGGGAGCGACACTTTATTTCCCTTCACCTTTGTTATGTACGTTTCCTTTCAACTATTTTAATTCAGTTATTTTAATTCAATACAATAAAGCTCATTTATGTATACTTTTTCGTTACGCGAACTTCCCCGCTTTATTCGAGCTATACAAAAAAAAATTGATGCATCACATGGACACACTAAGATAAAGGCCGAGTTCGGGAACCTCGAGAACTAATTCTAGCGATACCAATACCGCCTTGACACCTTAGACCTCCGGTTTATGCGAGTCAGTTTCACTACCTACTGTACCAAAGCCTCAGGTTTGAGCACCAAACATAGCCCCTAGTAGTTTATACAAGCAGTCAGCACCGTCTTAAGCACGAACCACGTGGAAAGCCGATGCAAATAAGTGATCGGTAAGATCATAAAGAAAAATTGCTCTACAACCATGTAGCGATTATCTACCTCTGATATCTCGGAATAACAAAAAAGAATAGCAAAGAAAAAAAGTCCTCTGTCAGTTGGTTCATAGGTCTCTGGTTATGGACTCGGTAGGGCGAATTACGGTTCGATCCCCCACAACTTACAAATAGGACATATCAAAGGGTACTGCACTCGTGCACCAGACCTCATACAAAGAAAGACCAAAATGACTAACATGTTATTCCACCACGTGCGTGCAAAGGTAAAGGGCTTAATGTGATTGTGCTGGAACGAAACTAGGCAAAGCTTGGTGCGATGGACTTTACGCCAAGCTACGGTAGCATGATTAGAACCGGCTCGTATAAGAAGGAGGCCTTCGAGCACATACCGCTTAGTGTCACTGTCGTATGCGTGTTGTTTTAATCTCGTCTCCGACATGCCGACTCAACGCCTCTAAAGCTATTTTGAAAACTCAAAGGAGCGCGTCGTGCGATTGCATCATTTCATTTCTTAGACCTTTTGCTTGAGGACAAGCAAATATTCAAGCTTAGACGAGTTTGATAACGCGGAAATGTATATTATAAATGTTATGTTTTTCAGTTGTTAATGTTCGGTTTCACCCCGATTTTAGATTACATCGCGTTATTTGTCTAGCATTTTTTGCAGGTATTCAAAATCCATACTACTCATGATCAAATGCACAGAACAGAAGGAAAGAGACAGAAAATAGCAGAAAATGAAGACTTTGCTGATGTCACGATCGTGACAGCCTTCACGACCGTCACAACCATTACGACCATCACAGGTCCTTCACGATCGTCACGCTCCTCACGACCGTCTCACCTCCTTCACGATCGTCATGCAGGCAAAAACAAACTAACGTTCAGAATGAGAACGTGTCCACGAAGACTGAGAAATTGGTGTAACGTTTTCCCTATATTTTCTCACCATCAACTCCACTTCCTCAGGACTTCACGCAGAGAATCTCAGCTATAAAAGGAGGACTCCTGGACCAGAAAAGGGGAGCCGCATTGAAGATAACGAAGTGCTGCCAAAATTTACTTCCAAAGCCAAATTGAATTCTTTTGTTCTTGTCTGTTTTTCCTTTTCCTTTAAAATTCCATTTGTACCGCTTTATCTATTTTCTTGAACGTTACTCATCACCGAGGTAGAATCCTGCCGATATTGTGGGGGACTACTCAAGGACCGAAAGCTGAATTATTTACAGGTTTTTATTATTAATTGATTTTCCATTACCGTTATGATGCATGTTTCTTTATTCTACTGCGTTTGTTTAATTATGATTATTCTAAATACCATGTCTAGCTAAACTGCATTAATCGGTATGTAATAAATTAGTAGGACGGAATTCGATAACATCCGGTGTTTTTCTGTTTTTCAAACATGTTTCTGGCCATAATTTTTAATTCAATTTCCTAAACAAAACTTCGTCGCGACAGCGAAAAATTATTTACAGTAGTTTTGCCACGGCAGTGGGAAATTCATTAAGGTACGAACCGGCACGCGAAAGCTGGGGTTCAAACCGGATAGTAAAAACTAGGCATTTATTTTAAACACAGCGAAAGCGCTTTAAAAGAAATCAGAACTTAATAGTTTTCAAAAAGCGATTTTAACCCAGAATGGAATAGTGAAAGCATACATTCCGCCTTAGAGTTGCGACTAGCGTCAACAACCAACGTGATACAAAGGTCTTTAAACGATTATTTTCTCCTGAAAACTACTTTGAAAATATTAAACCGCACCGATGACTTGTTGAATCCTCGAAGAACTAAAGTATTGCATACCGATTTCCCTTATTATCATTTAAAAAAACTTATAACCTTTTCTTAATTTAGCCTTTAAATTCTGCACTTACTTCCTTAAAACCCTTCCAACCTAGCTAAACGTAGTAGCATCCATTGACACTAGTTTGATTACAAGTCCCTGTGGGATCGATATCTTTATTACTACGCGATAGACTGTGCACTTGCAGTTAGCTCAGTTAGACATTAGAAAGTCGCGACTAATCTCCAAACACCAACACAAATTTTATTGCTTGTAAAATGTTGTTATTTTTTTAAAACTGAAGTTTCAAAACACAAATTATCAAAATAAAATTAATTTGCAAACAATCAGATAAAGTAAAAAGTGAGCACAATTTGGTGAAAAATCTCTCTTTATATTGATTTGACCCTTAAATGGGTAAGTACACACAAGGATGCAATTCCTTAATGAGGTAATTGCTTGCGGTGTGAGAAAAACATAATGGCAATAAAAATTATTGAGGTTCCATTGAGTTTCAACACTGCTATAGTCCATATGACTTATAAACCCTCAACACCTTGCTTCGTGGGAAGACGACTGAATTGATTCCATTTCTCGATGGCGTATTAGGGTCAAGTGAATGTGCAGACTGGATACTTTGCCTTGGAATTTGTCCCTAACTTTTGCCTGGATCGCCCTTTCAGGTTGTCAAATCCACCGAGACGCCCTTTTTTTCCTGAGCCGCCTTTTTGGGTTTTCAACTCATTGGACCTATTTTTTTTATTGTATCCCTAACTTTTGCCTGGACTACCCTTAACACTTGATTTTTTATTTATTAACATGCTTTATTAAGATAATTTAAATTCATTTTGTTATTTTAAATCATTTTGTAGATAGCACAATAAGTGCTCTGGTGAGTTTTTATGTGTTTGTCACATCTATAGGACTGATGTATGATAAGTTATGACACTTCTACATCAAATTTCAGCAAAGTCTTAGATGCATTAGAGTTAATAAGGACTGAAGGTCTATGGCATTAGGGAAAACATGTAAAATATAAAGATTAGAGTGCAAGTGATGGAAATTTGGATGGATACGATCAATCATTATAAGATTTTTTTTTGTTGCAAAAATTAATATGCACAAAATTGCACTCAAAAGTGTTTGTGCAACTGACCTGCTACAAGACGTGTAGTCTCATGCATGTTGAAAATTGTAATACCTAGAGATAATTTGTAGAAAGAAGAAGGAATATGTTGTGCTAATTGGACTTGAGAAATGACATATTTGAGCGTATTAGAGAATTGACTTAATATGTTTGCAAAAAATAAGAAAGAGAAAAAACCTAATATATATTTGATTTAAAACTCGTTTAAAAATATATTTTTGTATTTTTAATAAAGATGCATCTCCCTGCTAATTTTTTTTAAAATATATAAATATGAGTGTAAAAGATGTATCTGAAAATATATTTTTACATTATAGCGGTATTTTTTATTTTTCATAGAATTTCGTAAACACCGCTGAGTGTGCAACAAGCAATCTAGGAAAAAAGGCTCGCAAGAATGCAGTAAAATTGAGGCCCATAAGCTCAACCTCGTCCTTGAAATTGGCTACAGCACAGTCCAACAAAAGACGACATACGACTATTATTTCACGGTCAAACTGCCACGTCATCAAATGTTGTAAAACTTGTAGCCTCACCCTCAACCTTCTTCTTCAGACATATCTATTAACCAATCGAATTTGGCTTTTGCTTCAACTGAAAAAAACGAAATCAAACTTCGCATATTCACTTGCGTGAGATTCACGATGATCATGATCGCCGACACCGTCACTGTTATCGCCGCCAAAAGCATCTGTATCCTCCGTGGCTATCAATTCTCCGTCACCGATTCATCTCCCGAACAGATCTCAGCTATGATACACCCTTGCGATGCGGTGGCGCCACCGCCGGTGAAACCTAGTACACATAGGACATCGAGGAGGACGCTTACCCGGAGAAGACGACGAACTAGACGGAAGTTGTCGGGCGATGATTCGGGAGGGGAGGGGTTATTCTTTGGCGGTGAAGGCGATGGTGTTTTTGGAGGTGGAAGTGGAGGTTTTGGTGGTGGTGGTGGTGGAGGTGGTGGTGATTGGAATTTTAATAGATTTGGAGAGGGAGATAATTGGGATGAACGTTCGTCATTGCCGGATCCGGCGTTCGATTTCGTTTATCAGGTGTTGTCTTGGATTATGCTATCGAATTGTTTGCATTTTGCTTTCAAGAAAATTGTTAGAATTATTACGGATGGATCTATTGTTGATTCCGATAGAGAAAAAGTTCCTACCAGATTGACTCCTATTTGCTGATTTCGTTGGTACATTATCTGATCTGTTCTTCATACTTTGAATCCTCATATCAATGCTGATGGTTGGTTGTGATGGTTATTGTAAAATTGGTTTTACTTTATCTTATTTAAATTTGGCAATTACTGTAAATATTGTACAGAATTTATCATCTAATAAGAATTGCTATGTATTTCTATGTAAATTGTTGCTGCTTTTATGTGTATTACTTTGATGGTTTGGATATATTTAATTTATAATATAGAATATTTGTTTGATCTGAAATTCGAACATGATTTATGCTACTAATAGTTTATAGGAAGCAAAGCTCGTTGGTCAAGTTTGAGTCCAGAGACTCTGCTCCTCTCAAAGTCTCGGGTTCGAATACCCTAGGTTCAAAAGCCACTAAGTGCTTGTATTAGGTTTAGCCCATACAGAACATTGTTCTAGCTTTAAATGGATCCTTCCCTAGCGAACGGTGGAAATGATCCCATTGAATAAGTCGGCTTCAAGCACGATGCCAGGTTTATATGAAGCAATCTGGTTATGTGTTAACTATTAATCATTACTGCATGATTTGGGTTAGTTATATATATTGTGTGCAAGACAAGACATTCTCTTTTATGAGTTAATTTTTGTCATATGTTTGAGAGGATAATACCAAAGAAGAAATAGATTTTTCGAATTTCCTTGGAAGTATATTCTCAATCATCTGAGTCAAGAACATATTACCTCTTCAACAATTTTATTTTCTTGTGCCACTTCAATGTATGGGATTTCCTTTGAAGTACCTTGTATGTTACTGTTTGTGCTGCAAAAATTTTATTCTGTTTTGATCCTTTATTATGGTGTTCTACCCTTTGGTGTTTTGTTGATTTCAACTATTGCTTGTCAACCCTTTTTATAAGCTCCTTGTCAAACTTAGATTTGAGAATAGTTTAAGGATTATTTGTTACATTTCTTTCTGTTTAGAGACTAAATAGTAGAGACAGTGACAATTTACATGGATAAAATTGAAGGTTTATTTTGTTTATGCTTGCTCACAAATGTTTCTTACTGGCTTCTGTCAAAAATAAGTAACTGGATTCTATTTTGGCTTCTTTTCTTAGTTCTCTAGGTTGATCTTTCTTGTGTACCATGTTATGTTAGGAATATCTCCTATCTCCTTGAAAGTCTTGAACATTCTTCGACTCTAAAAATGATATGTATCACTCCAGTAAGGAATGCAAATATTCTAAATATGATTGATGGTTTTAGAAAAGACTGGTCATAATGGTGAAATAAGTTGGCAAGAGTTTTGGAAGTTTATCTATCTATCACTTAACCCTCTTTATGTTGTGTTTCTATATCTTATTTCTTTCTTTGCTAAATAGCTAGCTTGCACCAAGCACGATGTCAGTGTGTTACATTTGCATCACGCTATAAACATTAATGTTCTATCCGTGTAACACGCAAATTTGTTTGGCTAGTGGCCGTGAGGGTTACTACTAGCTAGACTTTGATGTTTATTAGCTCACCATTTTCTTAATTTCAATCCAGACTGTAATAATCTTACCTAGTATTAGTTATTGATAAAATTAAATTCTCTCTTAGGGTGTAATAATTGAGTGTGGAGAGGGAGATAATTGAGGATAAAAATGTGGGTGTTACATTATTTCTAAGATATGTAAAGAGTATATATATGCAACAATACATGATGATGTATAATTATCAAACAAATAAAATTGAATTTTTTTTGGTGTAACCGGTTGATGTATTATGTTAATCAAGTTTAACTTAACTACTAATTTAGTTTTTAACTAAAAGTTTCAGATCTAATTAGTTAACATAAAAGTGCAACAGGTTACATGCACGTGAATTAACATATTTTCTTAACACACCGCCTTAATTCACTTGCTCCAAGTTTTGTACGTCAATTAGCTTTTTCAATCTCTTGAATATTTCAATTGATTCCTTTGGTTAACAAATCGACCATATGGTGTTCACTTATAAAATACCTCAATCTCAACATTTCTTCACTAATAAGTTCTCTCAAGTGAAACCTCGGCTCAATATGTTTACTTGTCTCATGTGCGATGGGATTGTTAGCAAGGTTTATAGTAGAAATGTTATCAACCATGAGTGTTACAACGTCACCCTCTTTGTATCTAGCTCCTTTAACGGATTCTTTAACCACACAACTTAACACCTACACAACGAAGTTACAATGTACTCGGTCTCACAAGAAGAGAGTGTCATTACTGGTTCCTTCTCTGAACACCAAAAGATTGGTGTTTCTCCGAATATAAAGATGTATCAAGTTGTAGATTCTCTACCATCTTTATCTTAACACCTATTGGAATCGGTATATCTAAGTAAATTGCATTTTCTACCCTTGTCCATTACGGAAAAGAAAACTCTGCAACCAATAGATCATTTAATGTATCTTAGAATCCTCTTGACAGTTGCCAAGTGTGTCATCTTCTGTCTCTGCATGAATATGCTCACAATATCGACACTAAACACCAAATATGGCCGCGTATTGCACAAGTAACGCAAGGATCCAATCAACCTCCAATACTTAGTTGAATTAACATCTTGTTCGTCCTCATTCTTTGACAACTGCAATCTAGGTTCTGTCGGAGTAATGACATCGTTATAATGCTCCATTTCAAATTTCTTTAAAATCTCAAATGCATATCTTATTTGGTGCATGAGCACTCCCTTCTTGGACTTATAAAGTCTAGGTCGTTCATTTCAAACTCCTTCATAAGCATACCTTTGAACTTAGAAATGCAACCAACATCGATTTTCGTAATCAATAAATCGTCTACATAGAGACATATAATTACCATCCCTTTATTGTATCCTTCTTCACATACACACCATGTTCATATACACACTTTTTGAAGCATATCTCTTTTGACAAAAATATCCTATTCTTTCAAGCTCTCAGAGCTTGTTTCAACCCGTACAACACATTTTTTTAATCTATAAAACTTTGACCTTTTGTTTTTCACAACAAAATCAAGGAACTGTTCTACATAAACCTCTTTTACAAGTAGTCCGTTCAAAACACATATTTGATGTCCATTTGATAAATGGATCAATTGTTGTTGTTTGCAATCCCAACAACCAATCACATTGTAAGTATGAGTGTCCAACTTAAGAGGGGCGAATTAGGTTTTATGAAATTATCAATTATTTTTGCAGATGAATATCTCTTTCATTTTTCTGTTTTAACAATAAATAACACAGATATATAACCTGATTCCTCTTTCCAAACAAGAGCAGTCCAGACCCTTCACACCATGTGAGAGATTTTCACTATTGTTAGATCTTTGTACAAGTCTACCACTAAGACTTCTCTTACAATCTTCTAAAAATAACAAAGAAGCAAACCACTTCCTTGACTTTTAACAACACAACCAATTACGGTGGACTTTGAATCACCTTAATAGAAAAGGACTTTTTCAAAAAATAGAAATACAATCTTTCCTATTTGCAAACACCTATAATAAGTACAACAACTTTCTTACAAATAAAAATCACCAAACTCTTGGTGAAATAAATTAGGCAAAATACCCATTTTCGTCCCTTAACTTTAACTCGGGGTTCAGTTTGGTCCCTTAACTTTAAAAAGTGGTAAGTTGGTCCTCTAACTTTTAAAATGCTGTCAATTGAGTCCTCACTGTTAGTTATCCTTAAACGTCCGTTCATTGTGAGTACGTGGCAGATGACTTGACAAGTTTACTTCATCATCTTGTTTCGTTCTCCTTCCCATTCCCATACAATAAGAGAATTTTTTTTGTTCTTCTTCCTCTCAATCTCAAATCCCAAAATCAAAGCTAGGGTTTTTGTTTTTGGCAAGCATGGTGTTCATCCTCCATGTTGAAACAGAAAAGTGGAGATTCAGATGTTTGTAACAGGTTACGATGGAAGCCCATATGCCATTGTGGAGACATGGTTATTCTTCAAAGGGCAACTAATGTTAAGAATATGGGTAAAATTTCTGGGGTTGTCCAAATTATAAGGTATGCAAGGTTTTTCAATTTGTTAATAAGTTCTGTTTAAGTTTCAATTTGTAGGTAACCTCTAAACAATAAAAAATTTCAGGGAGGTATGCAAGTCGGGTGTGGTTTCTTTGGTTGGTTTTATGAGGAGGTGGGTGATGAGAATGAGCAATTATGGGTGCATAGATTGAGTGTGGTAACTAAGGGACTTGCTGAAGCAAAAAAAGACATTGAAAAAGTGACAATGGAGAATGAAGAATTAGGGAAAAAGTTGATGAAACTTGAAAGTGAAATGAAGAATATCATGAAGTGAAAAAAGATTTTGAATTTGATGTTTGTGATGATTATCATTGTATTAGTTGTTAGAATGAGTTAGGGTATTAAGGTCTGTTTGGAAATAGTATGTTATGGTTTGTTTGTAAGAATTTACTTTAAGTTCGGTTAAAGATTGTATCTTTTGGATTGTATCAGTTTAACATGAATGTAATAGTTGGATTGTAGCAGTTTAACATGAATGCAATAATTTAACATGTATAAGTTCTGTTAAATATTAATTTTGAAATATTTGGTCTGTTAAGAGAATGGTCTATAATTTTATGCATGATCTGTCAATTTTGAGCATGAGTACATTTTAACATGAATGCAATATTAATTTTGCAATATTTGGTCTGTTAAGAGAATGGTCTATAATTTTGAGTATGACCCGTCAAAGATTCTGTTACTTTTATAAATATTACTTTTGCAATATTTGGTTTGTTAAAGATTTTATTAATTTTAACACACAATGGGTTCCAAACACAAAGTGTTTTTACAGCACACAATGACCTATAAGTTATGATTTTTAACACGAAATTATGACAGGTTCTGATTTTAACATAAAGTACATAAAGTGGTTCCATTTTGTAACAGGTTCATAAACTGATACACATGTTCCACAAAATACATAAAGTGATTCCAAACAATAGCAAAATACATAAACTGGTTCCAAATGACAAAGATAGCCTAATTATATCTAAAGTGATTCCAAACAAC